AAGAATGTATGTGCATCAGGGTGCTGAAGATGTGGAAAGCGAGTTCTTCATGTTCTTTGATACTGGAGAAGGGGAGGGGCAGTATATTAATATATATCGTGGTGTTAAAAGTAACCTGGCAAGCCTTGCAAAGAGGCACTGGCCATCTCTCCATACCACATCCGTGCCAGCACATCCAATTCGTAACCATGTGAGCATAGTTTCCCACACCAGCCAGCGATGGAAATATGGCCAGGAGTCTAATTATGATTTGATGGAAAGTAACTTGCTGTCATCTCAATTTAGACCAATGCTGTTGCCAGCAATTTTGAAATGATTGAAAAAGGGACCCCCATGGGAGATTGGCAGAATGAGATAAGAAAAGATAAGATAAGATTTCGTTCGGATTTTTAACCCCGGAGGGTTAGCCACCCAGGATAACCCAAGAAAGTCAGTGCGTCATCGAGGACTGTCTAACTTATTTCCATTGGGGTCCTTAATCTTGTCCCCCAGGATGCGACCCACACCAGTCGACTAACACCCAGGTACCTATTTGCTGCTAGGTGAACAGGACAACAGGTGTAAGGAAACGTGTCGAAATGTTTCCACCCGCCGGGAATCGAACCCGGGCCCTCCGTGTGTGAAGCGGGAGCTTTAGCCACCAGGCCACCGGGCCACCAATGAGTGACTCGGTCCATGCTCATTGCCCTTAACGACCATCTCTCCAGGGTCTCGGAAAAAAAAACTGCTTGCTAGAAATGCGACTTAATTAAACACTTGTATACAAAGAATAATGTCATGTGGGGAATCAAATTTCTGGATAGCTTGGGAGTCAAACATTATCATGATTAAGTTAAACACTAAACCCATAAGGGTTATACAGCGCTGAGGCGAGGGATAAGAACACAAAAAAGGAGGAACACTGCCACAGGCCTAATGGTCCATACTAGGCAGGTTGTTCTCAAATCCAAACCCACTAACAAAAATATTTGCCCAACCCATTTTCAATGCTACCAAAGGAATAAGCTTTGATAACCTTATTGACTCATGTACAAGTCCCACTCAAATTATTATTATAATCAAAAAGAAGCGCTAAGCCACAAGGGCTATACAGCAGTCCCACTCAAAGGGAGGGGAGAACTGAAACACTGTCATAAGATTCCTTTCCTAAGTGAGGGTAATTGTAAATTGTTCTAGCCATTGTATTGTGAATTTTTACTCTACACTTATTAAATGTCAACAAAAGATTTTATTAAAATAAGCATGTTTATTAAAAATTTATTAAACTATTGTAATTATTTAATGAGCCTGATTTATGTAACTTGGTAACTGCTATGGGGTAACAAAATTATTTAGCATAACATTTCACTTTGACTTAGAGATGACAAGCTGTAATGTTCAGTCAGTGGGTTAAAAAATGGCACATTAACATACATGTTAGTTATTAAACTCTTTGTGACTACTAACATTTCACTATGTACTGTCTTGAAAAATAAATGTAGGAGTTATATCAGTGGTATACAATACCAACAAGTAGGTAAATAGGACATGTGCAACAGCTGAGGAACTAACCACCTCAAAATTAAATCTTTTTCAAGGCTAAGAGAATAACCTTCTCAAAAATTTTTTTTCAAGGCTGAGGGACTGACCATCTCAAAATTACTTCTTCTGCTGTCTTCAATATTTAAGTCACCTCTGGATTTGGCTGAAGCAGCTTGCTGAGCAGTTGATATGTCTTGACAAAAAAGATATCCAATTGTTGCATGTGTGTCATATTCCTCAATGAGCAGTGATGCAAACTCCTTGGTCCTGTCAGCATTAGTATCATGAACTATTGTGGACAAAGACACAAGTATGTTGAACAAGCCTTTACTTGGATGAAGTTTTGCAGTAAGTAGAGAAGCTCTATTTAGAATGAGACCATGTCCAGATAAAGAATTGTTCTGGTGTTCCTTACCCTATGTGACATTTGAGTTCCAGGCCGATTGCAGCTGTACAAAGTTCAGTCAGTTCATCAATACTTAATCTCCACATAATAATCATCAGTTTGCTTTGAGAAATGCAATGACTGTATACAGTGAGGATAATATTGCACATAAATTTCCAATAAAAATGGGACATGGCTCGAAAGTAATTTCTCAGAAAGCCAGAAAAACCTATACTTGTGTCTTATTTTCCACACAGCTGTGTTACACTCTTCCAACCACTATGTGACCCCGAACAACAAACTCTTAGTAAGAGGTATATACACAAGTCCTTGCCTACCTTTACAATTACCTTGAAGAACCACCCTTTACATTAATACCATTTACATTCAACTCTCCAAGAACTGGCACCTGAAAATACCAGTTTTGAGAAACAGGTATTTTATAGATTGCCAAAACAGTTTTCAAGAAAAGGGTACCAAAACCAGCTCTACCTGGCAGACTTCAGATTAAAATACTTTGACCACCACACACTGCTGCATTACATTTATTATCTAATTTATTTTAAAATTTTAATAAAAAAAACTATGAAATGTGTATAAATATGTATTAATGTTCCTTGACTGGAGAAAATTCCTAATACTACTGTAGTGTCAAAATTAGTTGAAAGTCAATAATTACAAGAAATGAAAATGCTTTAATTTTTTATAAACTATTATAGTGTTGGTTCCAAGGATGGCATTTTTCTTCAGGTTTATCATGAAAGTATTATGAAATAACTAGACTTAGTAAGAGATGCCTTGAACTGCACCACATCCTCATATTACCTTCATTCACCTCTCATATACAGTATAGTATTTAAAGTACTGTACAGTATGTATCAGTAGTTTATCATGAAATAACAAAGGCTTAGTACTTTAAAAGTGTACTTATGTTCCATGTTACTGTCATATCTTAAATATTGTACTTTTTTTTTGTTTAAACTTATACCCATATTTATTATTACATTCACTGGGAGCCTCTAAACCTGTAAGGGCCTACAGTGCCTAGGAAATGAGAGAATCAGATTTAATCTCAGAAAGAGGAGGGTACCTTCAATTCCTTGGATCAAGAACCCTTCACCAGGCTCAAGTCAACCCACTTGAAGAGACACCAATATTTATAGTCTGCTTAGTCAACTACATCCATAAACACATTCTAAAACTACAAGAATACAATATTAACATACACTTCATGCTGAGTAACATTTTCTCATGAAATGTTGCTGCTACCCTTGTATAAATAAAATAAATATCTACTCTCTTCTAGTTCTTGTTCAACATGCAAACATTAAAAGCACACTTGTGTGTCCCAGGCAGCTGCATACATCATAATCACCGTATTTCTCTGTGCTGTCACTCTAGCTTTTGTAGAAGCCTTACATATGTATGTAGTCCAATAAATCTGGAAACGTATCATCATATGGTATAGTATTAAGTACAATATATAAAAAGATTTAAAAAATACAGTGCTCAAAATGTATTCCATGAATCATCAACACATTTATATCCCTAAAAAACAGTTAAGCACTGGATTTGATAGCTTGAACATTTCACATTGGGCACCATAAACAACACTGCTCCTTTAACTACAAAAAAATGTTATTATAAATATACAATCACACAGCATAAAAAAATCATTTTCAAGTTTTGCAAGATCTACAATTTCACAGTGAAATGCTTTCTTCAAGTTTGCAAGCACTTACTTTATAGTACAGTACAATACTCATATAATTTCCATATTATTATTTTTACTAGTATTAGTACTGAATATTCATGGGAAAGTGCCAAACCCATTGGAGTCATACAGTGTCAGAGGAATGGAAAGTAACTAGATTTGATTCCAGTAATGGCAGGGGTAGCTCCAGTTCTTCAGATCAAGAGCCCTTCACCTTGCATCAAGGACCCCTCCCTTCATTGAAAAGTTGAATTTACCAAGGTAACATTGTATGTGATGTTACAAACTAGGTTACACTTTCAGTCATAATTTCACATACTTATTCTGATACATGACAATGTCCAGAATGTTGTTTGGCCCTGTTTCCAGATTTTTTGGCCACCATATAAAGTATTATTTAACTTTTCATCTCTTAAAAAAATGATCACAGACCTAACTACAGCAATATTATAAGTGTGGAGACTTAAACTAACATAAACAACACATCTCATGACTTACTCTCACAATGCAGCAGTAACATGAGCTACATGACTTACTCTCACAATGCAGCAGTAACATGAGCTACATGACTTACTCTCACAATGCAGAAGTAACATGAGCTACATGACTTACTCTCACAATGCAGCAGTAACATGAGCTACATGACTTACTCTCACAATGCAGCAGTAACATGAGCTACACGACTTACTCTCACAATGCAGCAGTAACATGAGCTATGTGACTTACTCTCACAATGCAGCAGTAACATGAGCTACATGACTTACTCTCACAATGCAGCAGTAACATGAGCTATGTGACTTACTCTCACAATGCAGCAGTAACAAGAGCTACATGACTTACTCTCACAATGCAGCAGTAACATGAGCTACATGACTTACTCTCACAATGCAGCAGTAACATGAGCTACGTGACTTACTCTCACAATGCAGCAGTAACATGAGCTACATGACTTACTCTCACAATGCAGCAGTAACATGAGCTATGTGACTTACTCTCACAATGCAGCAGTAACATGAGCTACATGACTTACTCTCACACTGCAGCAGTAACATGAGCTATGTGACTTACTCTCACAATGCAGCAGTAACATGAGCTATGTGACTTACTCTCACAATGCAGCAGTAACATGAGCTACATGACTTACTCTCACAATGCAGCAGTAACATGAGCTATGTGACTTACTTTCACAATGCAGCAGTAACATGAGCTACATGACTTACTCTCACAATGCAGCAGTAACATGAGCTACATGACTTACTCTCACAATGCAGCAGTAACATGAGCTACATGACTTACTCTCACAATGCAGCAGTAACATGAGCTACATGACTTACTCTCACAATGCAGCACAAAAAGGGTATAAATTGGAAAACAAAAGCAGAATAGGAAAAATATTTATAAAATCCTGTGGTTTATTTGTTAACAACAGTTATCCAATTGTTAAGTCATAACTGGTAATTCATGAGTGACAAAAAATTTAATAACTTTCAAGTCAACTGTTATAAAGTGTATACTAGTGTACACATTTACAAGACCAGTGACATTGTTTTTTATATAACTGAATTTATTAGTTTTTGAGTGTAAACTATTAATTGTTATACCTCTGACCAATTTTAGGCCAGGCTTACCTGCTGACCATCTGGTCAGCCAGGCTGTTAGTGCTAGCGGTCCACATGGCCACCACAACCCGGCTGATCAGGCACCTGCAGACTTGCCAACTTTCAGAATGGCAAAGTTTAGAAGAAAAAAGTACTCATAAAGGCCCAAAATGGAAAGAAACCAAATGAGAATATGTCCACTCATTCTTCACATTTAGCTGTGAGGGATTTTCAGATATTCCCACTGAATGAAAAGGCTAACTTTTCTCTACATTTTTTCATCCAAATATTGTTACTGGCATTTACATTATGTCTGATAATGACAACCCTAATGTAATAAAATAATAATTAACCTTGAATAATGATTTTGCCCACTGAATCATGGAAGTTGATCAAAACGTTCATCCTTGGCATGTATATATAGTACTGCATATACATGTACGTGTATGTGTGTGTATGTACACACAGACATATATTCACAGCATTACATAACAAAGACAAATCTAAGAAACTACCAATTGTTAAAATAACATATAACATTTTCCTTGCAATAAAGATATGCAAATTCACTTAAAACAAGAATGCATTCACTAGCAACAATATAAATGAAAATGTAGAAACAACTAAACAAAAAAAAAAAAATGGTTGAAGCAATGCAGAGCAATACACAAAATGGACCACCTGATGTTTCTCCTTTTCCCCAAGAAACAGTGAAATAAAGTTACGCAAATCTTAGATATAGAATACGTAGCCTATTTTCTATTTTACACAAACTTTAATCAGGTTAGGTTTGTTTGCTAGGCTAGTTTTGGTACTAGATGTAAAACTGGCCTACTAACATCTGCATACTGCTAACTATGCTTCACTGGTTTCCTAGGGGCAAAGGGCAAATCTTTACATGATCTCATGACTATAGCAATCCAGTTCATGATCTCATGACTATAGAAATACATGATCTCATGACTATAGAAATACATGGTCTCATGGCTATAGAAGTACATGATCTCATGACTATAGAAGTACATGATCTCATGACTATAGAAATACATGATCTCATGACTATAGAAATACATGATCTCATGACTAGAAATATAGTTCATGTCATTACATTTGGGATATGCTGTACACTTTCAAAGCTATTGTATGTACCCCTCTTGTGCCAGGTGTCAGGTGGACAGGTACAGCCTTGTAGAAACATTCACAGCTCTGTACCTTTCCTTGTGAGGAATCTCAAGTGAACAAATATCGACTTAGAGATACTCAAAGCTAATTGTCTTTGCTTGTGATGAATGTCAGGTGGACAAATGTAGCCTCCTAAACACTTTCAAAGCTATTTACCTGCCACTGTGACAGGTGTCATGTGGACAGGTATAGCCTCAGCTGAGGTAGCAACTATTGGTGACTCTTCACGCCTCATGCCCCACTTCACACAAACAAAACTAACATATATAATACAAAATGCACTCCTATCAGGAAGCCCAGAGTAATATCTTTATTATTTACCAAATTTATTATTACTTTCATCAAGAAAAATTGTATTTAAAATATACAATGAGTTATTTACTTGTACAGTTTACATTTATTTGTATTTGTTTCATTAAACAATATTTATATTAAACTTAAACAACTTCTAACTAAACAATAACACAGTAGCTATAATTTCTTTTTATCATGCAAAATGGAAAAGCACAATGTTTTGACAAAATTATGAAAGTGTTCTTCCTAGCTTTTAAATACCAAAATGAACTGATATGTAGACTAATACAATATATCCAAGTCTTGAGACAGATTTACCAAAACCTTTGAGACAATGCTCTACCAAAACTCTGGTATTACCAAGCTATTCAACAAATTTAATTCATTACCATCAACACAAAAACAAGCCACTTGAAATACAAGGAACATAATAAATTGCAAATGACCTGTAATCCAATTAACTATTATTATCAAACATACATAAAACAAAAAATATGTTTTTTTTTTGTCTGATATTTTTAAAACTATACTGTACCTTCGCTACTTTACCTTCACTTCACCACATGTACTGATATTACTACTAGTATAATGCTGTTATTCCTTAGGCTCAACCACATGCACACATATTTCTAACCCAAAGGGCAAATACCTTAGGGTTAGCAACAACAATATATATGATACCTGTTGCTGGATGCCTCAGTATCATTCATGAGAATAAAAAAGAATAAAAAAGCAATAATACAAGATTTTCAAAAAATAGTGACCAGAAAAAATAACCAAACCATGGAATGGGTGAGGTTTGAACCCATGGTGACTGAGTCCTAAAACTCCAGGTCAGTGTGTGTAAGCCACTCACTCGCCATGGGTTTAAAACCCACCTGTGGTTTGTTTGCAATCATGTTATTACAATTTTGTGAATCATGATAAAGACCAGCTCTGAGCCTTCCCAAACTATAGTCCAAAAGAGCCGTTTGGTTGATCTATAAAGCTGGAGAAAAAACATAATTGTGGTGTTTCCTTCAAAAAGAATTAAGTTTGGATATCCAACTTTACACAATCTCTAGAAACACTATACCATATTATTTCTACCCCAAACATACACATAAACTTTACAATGACAATTCAATGCCAAGGTATGGCACAATGTTCTCCAGGGACACACACAACTAGTGGTGACTGGAGCACATTAGATGAAGAGGTGGTGGAGGCAAACACTATACGCAGTGTCAAGAGTACTGGAGATGCAATTGAGCCCTGGAGACCAGGAATCATTAAAACTGGTTGATAAAGAGTTAAAATGTGGGGGAGGAACAATGGCTCGACCCCTGCCAACACAACTAGGAGAGAATGAACATCACAACTTGACCTCATATTATCTGTAGAACCCTCTGCAGGAGTAAGGTATTATTGCACAAATTAAGGGATGCTAATTTTTTGTATTACTGTGAAGAAATAAAAGTACTGTACCAGTACACAATAAACCAGATTGTACTCTATTTCATCCTAAGCACAAAAAAAAAAAAAAATCACAATCAGTTCTTTAAGCATATATAAATCTCCAGAAAAATATTTTAGTAACTGCTCAACTTCCCAATTTACAGCATTTTATAATAATTTTTCTTTTTAGTATTATATGAGGATTATGCCTTTCAAAGAGATAACATAGAGAATTACTAGTAATTAAATAATATGAGAGACAGAAACACACTAAATAATTTTCATGATCTAAATATGGCACTCAATTTTTGTCAGAGAACAAGTGAACATACTCTATATTCAGTGTGAACTAATACAATTTTGAAAGATAACCACAAACCCAGCAAAAGTACATCTTCCTTACCACTGCCATTTTTCTTACTCGATCACATTCAATAGATGATTTCTACAGGAATTTTATAAAACTGCAATTTGTTAAACTGTACAAGAGGCCAAGAAACACCTATCTACTACATTTCTGAAATGCAGTGAACACCAATTATCTACAAGTGCAAAATATTGTTCAACAAGTACAAATGGATTAGCTACACAGTGAGTGAAAGATTAATTTTTCACTTAATAAAAAAGATTAACAGTTTGTTATTTCTATTACTGATGTCCAAAACTTTTTTTTTGAATCGGAGTTTAATTTAATGTACGGTTGAGCATAGAGAAACAAATAACAAAATGCCCATAGGAAAATTCATTTGACAGCTACAATACACCATTACATTTCCTGCTGCATTCCTGCCTCAAAAATAGAGCATATACAATTATTTCTACACATACATTAATTAGCTGACATTCTGACTACCTGACTCCAGTAATGCATCTTGGGCATTAGTTTAACAAAAGACTGACCAAAAATATTACAAACAACATACACCATGAGTTTGTAAAAATTGCTTCTGCCACCTACATTGTGTTGCCCTCATCACATCGACCAATAATGATCCACCACCCAAGACTGTGAATGTTCAAACACTAATTAGAAAAATCTTGACTTTTCATGGAATTACAAGCTCTGTCTGAGATTTACTTTCAATCATTTTTCTCACTAATATTATCACAGACACTCTATAAATACCAAATTCCATAAACCTTAAAATTGAAAATTTTAAGTGAAATAGTGTACCTGTAACAGACAACCAGTCTTGGAGTAGAGGAATTAGTATATTTTAATACCTTCATTCAACATTAGGTCAGAGCAACTACAAAATTTTCAGTCAAGACAACAGGGAACAGATACTATTACAGTAATTCTTGACCATCTCTTCAAAATATTGTCAATGGTGTGTGCTTTCAACTAAAGGAATGCCAACGATGGATGTAACTTGGCTGTATGTATACAGCATTGCATCCTTGGCTTACACGTTTCATTATATGAGTCTCTTAGTGATGGCAAAAATAGTGAATTTATTGCAGCCAACCTTGCTTATCTCTGAGTATTGATGTGTACATTATTTGCGATGATCTGTCTAGGTTGGGACTGCTGGTGGTGGTGTTGGTGATGCTGCTGCTGTGACATCATGGAAGGTGGTTGAGAGAGAGGCGGTTGGAACTGTGGCGGCTGGAAGTGTGGCGGCTGGAAGTGTGGAGGCTGGAAGTGTGGTGGTTGGAACTGTGGAGGCTGGAACTGTGGAGGTTGGAAGTGTGGTGCTTGAAACTGTGGAGGCGGGGAAAATCCTCCTGAAAAGAGAATACTGTACTGTACTTCTGTATATTACTTAGAAGAAAAATTGACTTTAGTATGGAATTACTCTATGAATTACATAGTACTACAAAAAAAATCACATTATGTCTGCCAACAATGTGCAAGCATAAACTACAGTGGACCCCCGGTTAACGATATTTCTTCACTCCAGAAGTATGTTCAGGTGCCAGTACTGACCAAATTTGTTCCCATAAGAAATATTGTGAAGTAGATTAGTCCATTTCAGACCCCCAAACATACACGTACAAACGCACTTACATAAATACACTTACATAATTGGTCACATTCGGAGGTAATTGTTATGTGGGGGTCCACTGTAGTTATATCTAGTACCTCAACAATTATTTGCAGCATGGAAGCAAAAGCAGATAACCTGAAGAAAAGAGACAGGGAAGAAAAAGCAAAACTGTCACAATGAAAGCTTGCCTGTACCTGTCTTTGCTACATTAGTCTGCAGTACCCCTGTGTCTCCAGCAGACGACACATCAAATCAACGACATATGCTGTACAGTTCTGTTAACACACCAGCCATCTCCAACTGAGGTAGGGTGACCCAATGAAGAAACACTTTTACTATCACTCACATTATCACTGTATTGCCAGAGCATACCAACATTATAGCTTGGATACCCCTACAAACTGCAATATCCCCTACCACCTTCTTCAGAGTGCAGGTACTGTCATTATCTATTAATGGTTCTGGGATCATTGCCCCAACAGCCCAGTCTTATAAGAGGTCTCCGAATTTACAAAGAAAATATTCCTGGGCTAAGAACCACTAGAAACCATTCAGGAAAGATAAGTTATACCAGATGAGATTTTAGATTCTGCCACCGATGTGGCTAGTTTATTGTGCACCCCACATCCATCCTGTAAATGGTAGCACAAGAGCATATGGATACACAAAAGGCCTAGGAACTAGGCCCCAAAAGGGTTAACAGGTGTACATATGAATTTATATCTACATATCTACAATTCACTTATCTGTTACAAGCAAATTTAGGAAATTTGCTTAGTATATCTGGTATCTTATTTTCATTAATAAGATATCTTGACATGTAACATAGGTTATCATGACTAACGAAATCGTAATGACATGGTTGCAAACAAACCATACCACAGACAGGGTTAGAACTCTCTGATTGCAGGTTCTAACCCTGTCTGTGGTATGGTTTACATAGGTTATTATACTGTCTATCTCTGTATTCCTCAATAAGTGGACAATTAAGCACAGAGTGTTCAAGACAGTGACCATATGCCTGATCACATAATTTGCATTTAATCTGATAATCATCTGTGTGTCTCCCAAACTGCCAGAAGTACTTGTAACCAAGCCTAAGCCTGGCCACTACAACATCAGTCAGTCTGTTCACACTGCAAGTTGCTCCATAAACATACTTATCTACGTTCATGTTATCATAGTGGGTTATAGATCTACTCAGGCTTCTAACTGTATTCCTATAACAATCATTTTCATTATTTACTTCTCTCCTAATATTATTCCTAATTCTAGACACATATATACCAAATGTATGAAAAAGCTTGAAAGATTTACCTGATATCAAACAAGTTAATGAAAAAAAAAAAAACAGCAATCCTACAGAAGTGCAAATTGTTAAACAGGCTCCTGTTTCAAACTCATATGATAAGGTGGTGATACAGGTTGGCCGTCACTAATCCAGCAATCAGTAATCTGGTTCCATCAGTAATCTGGCACTAATTTCAGCTAGCATAATTTCAAATTTCTGGGGTCACTACACCAACCTGCCACTACTGTTTGGTTTACCTGGAGTTTACCTGGAGACAGTTTCAGGGGTCACCACTCCTGCGGCTCGGTCTGAGACCAGGCCTCGTGGTGGATCAGGATCTGATCAACCAGGCTGTTGGTGGCACTACTTGTTGCATAAGTCATTCCAATTTCTTTTTCTCCATTTATTGTTATAACCTGCTCACTTTTTAGCCTTAGCCATGGTTCCAACAAACATAAGAAATGCTTCTCGTTGTGTAAAGCACATACGCCATACATTGTACATAAAAGATACGGTGGCTTTGAAGACACTGTCGGTTGCCATGAGCTCAGTTCACTCAGATAAGCCGTGACGGGTAAATTTGGGCCTACACATGAGAGAATAAGTCTGTGTGGTAAGTGTGTACTATATAAAAAAAAAATTCTGCAGCACGCAGCGCATAATGAGAAAAAAGGCAGCTGCTCTTTTGGTGCAAAACAGCGACTCTGTGGTGTATTTTCGTGTGGTTTATACGGTTGCATTCTCATGTTTTTATCTCATTCGACAGAATGGAAGATATACATGTAGTACAGAAATAGATATAATTTTGGTTGGTTTTATGCTAGAAAGTGCCTAAAAATTGAGCTCAAAGTAGCGTAAATGTTCGATTTTTACTGACGTTCAAGAGTAAACAAATGATGTCACTGCCCAATACATGTCCAACTGGCTGGCCTAACACGCAGTCACAAATGGGTTGACATTATTTATACAATTACTACAACAATGCAGTAGTCTGCATAACAGTAAATCTTCTATTTTATGTGTGAATAAAAATTCAAAATGGAAAGCAAGCGTAATATAAGAGGGGCATGGAGGCGTGACTAATGAACAGAGAAAATGTTATTTTAGTACTAGGAATGTCTGCATTGTTTATTCTGGACTATTTTGAAATCGGCATCTATTGAAATTTGTGTGAAATTGGCCAAATTACCGATTTTTGACTCCTTTATTGGGTAGTTGAAATAGGTAAATGGGGGTTTCTTGTACTCAATCGACAGAATAGAAGGAATACTAGCGAAATAGCTATGAGTTTGGTAGACTGAAACAATGGAATGGGCCAAAAATAGGGTTTGTAAAGTGGGTGAAATCACCGATGCATTAATATCACCATTGGGTTAAGTGTATTCTAACTTAACCACTCTGTAATCCGGCAAAATCACTAATCCGGCACCCTACAAGTCACAATGAGGTAAGATTAGTGATGGTCAACCTGTACCTGGGTTTTCCTCTAAGGCGTTGGTCAAAACAGAAAAGCCTCTAGGAAGATCTATTCAAATATAGCTGAATAATTCACAGTACCATTGTTGGAACAATTCACAGCTCACAAACTGGAGATCAATCTTAAGATGACATTTCAGTTTGTACTGAACCATTATCAAGTCACTTGATCATGATTCAGAACAGATTGAAATGCTGTCATATGATTTATGTATTTCCAATTTGTGGGTGAGATGTGAACATAGTTTTCTAGTGTGTTGCCTTTGCCTTACATCCTCATGACATGGCCTGTTCTCTATCTTCTTGTACATGTTCTATGGTTGCATACCAATCCCACTAACCCACTTTTGAACAACCTCTGTTCAACCCTATCATATGAACATAATAAAGGAGGAGCACTGCTATCATCCATCATCATCATGCACATGTTAAACTATTGTAAAATAATCCACTTCACCCGCTCAATTATCACTTTACCCCTTCACATGAAAAACTCAATTTAACTCTTGAACTGTGTATGACTTACTTGTATGTCTGGGAATTTTGCTTTGTATGACTTGTGCATCAGAGACCAGGCTGTGTAAGACTTGTACATCATGGAACCAAGCTGTGTATGACTTACTAGTACATATGTCAGGGAATCAGGCTGTGCACGATTTATTTGTATTTCAGGAGGTCGGGTTGTATATGACTTACTTGTTTGTCAGGGGGTCAGGCTGTGTATGATTTACTTGTATGTCACGGGATCATGTTGTGTATGCCATGCCTGTAAATCTGCTGAGCTCAGTTGTTTGGGCTGTCAGGCACCTCTTATGCCAAAGAAAAGAAATTGCTAGCTGCTGGCTCAGCACAAGGCACCATAGGTAAAATTGCCTTGGAAATGCTGTTCTCACAATTGTCTCCAAGTCTTGCTAGAAAGTGCTAATTCATGAGACAGTGACAGCTATTCTAATGTGAAATGTAAACATGTCACAGAGGCACCACCAACACCAGCCCTGACTCCACCATACCACGGCCATACACGTTGAACGCACCGCTTCTCGTCCGATCAGCGAAGTTAAGCAACGTTGGGTTTGGTTAGTACTTGGATGGGTGACTGCCTGGGAACACCAAATGCTGTTGGCATAAAAACTTTTGGTGGCCCGGTGGCCTGGTGGCTAAAGCTCCCGCTTCACACACGGAGGGCCCAGGTTCGATTCCCGGCGGGTGGAAACATTTCGACACATTTCCTTACACCTGCTGTCCTGTTCACCTAGCAGCAAATAGGTACCTGGGTGTTAGTCGACTGGTGTGGGTCGCATCCTGGGGGACAAGATTAAGGACCCCAATGGAAATAAGTTAGACAGTCCTCGATGACGCACTGACTTTCTTGGGTTATCCTGGGTGGCTAACCCTCCGGGGTTAAAAATCCGAACGAAATCTTATCTTATCTTATCTTACCAGTTGTTCTGCAAGCACTACACCTGACTTCAGCTATCCTGTTGCTCGGTTGGTAGCACACTCAGCTCACACAGTTCGATCCCCAGTATGGGTGGAAACACTGGGTGTGTTTCCTTACACCTGCTATCCCTGTTCACCTAGCAGTAAGTAGGTACATATCTAAGTATTAGCCAACTGGTGTGGGTTGCATCCTGGGGACAAGATTAACCTAAGTTGCCAAAATGCTCTGCATAACCAAGGGCTTTCTATATAGTACAGTGGACCCCCGGTTATCGGCCGTAATCCATTCCAGAAGGTCGGCCGATAATCAAAATGGCTGATAACCGAATTAATATTTCCCATAAGAATTAATGAAAATACAATTAATCCGTTCCAAACAAAAATATTCACACACAAAAAAAAAATAACAATTATGTAAGCATTACATACCTTTACTGAAGGCTAATGCTGGCTTCTGGAAGATAGGGAGGAGGAAAGAGGGAGGAGTTAGTGTTTGGAAGGGGAATCCCCCTCCATTAAGACTTTAGGTA